AGGGATATTCAGGGAAGGCTTCATGGAAGAGGCAGCCTTTGATCTCAGCCCTGAAAGGCTGAGAAGGATTTTCATAGACTAAGATAAGGACAGTGGGGAGGGCATTCTAGGAGGAGGGGAAAGCTTGAGAAAAGGCACAGGCAGAGGCCCCAAAGCAGATACTATGCTTGGGAAAAGGTGAGTTATGTGTGGCCACAGCACAGGTTTGCAGCAGGACCTAGCAGGAGATGAAGTTAGGGTGGACTAACTAGTTTTAAGGGCAGGTTACAAAGGACTGGGGTTTGAGTTTTGTTTGGTAGGTAATGAGAAGCCATGGAGAAGAACGATGTGATTCCAACTTCCAAGTGGGTGGACAGCTCCACTTAGTCCCTTCAATCACAATTCAGCTATTCCCTCCTCACTTCCTGGATTATCCTTCACGTGAACACACGTAGGACTCTGCTGGCCTGAGCTGCCTGCCATGTGACCCTCACTCTGCCTTTCCCTACCCCTGTTTCCCCTGGTGTTCTGACTGGGTGAGGACCCTAGGTTCTAATAGAACAAGAGCAACCTTGGAGGAGAGCCTCGTGGTGGCTGTCCGAGGTGCTGAATTCTAAGCCCTCCCATTTTAATGACTGGTTCCCATAACACCGTTCCTGTTGGGTAGAAAATATCATTCCCACTTTACAGATAAGAAATAGAAGTCCTAAACGTTAGCAGACCCAGAGCTAGGAACATGTTTTCTCACCTTCCAGTTCAGGGCTCTTTTGCCCCACCCAGCAGCCCCAATGCAATTCAGCAAATCATGCCTCAAGTGATTCCAATGCTGTTGCCAAGCTAATATGTAAAATGCCTAGACTTTATTCCTATCTCCAGCCCTATGTCCATTTCCCCAAACACTGACAGGTGTGTCTACCCCACAAGGCCTCCTGACACTGACTATTCAGGGTGACCCACAGGTGCTTCGGTGGACCTGCTTGGACCCACAGCTGTGCATATTCATGACTCTGCTTGCTCCAACAGGAACCCCTGGGTGTAGCTCATCTTGACACTCTTCTTGATGGGAGGGGTACTGGGCTTGCAAGAAGCATTGTTCCCCTACTACTCTCACAGTGTACCAATAATTACTACCATTTTACTGGGTGCTCACTGTGTTCCAGGCACTGAATGACAAACTTCCCATATGAAGCTTCTCAGTCTCATGGCAAAGTCTCCTCTTAACAAATGAGGAAACTCAGACTAAGGCGGGATGAGTGACTTGCCAGTAGGCAGAGTGGGGATTGGAAGGCAAGGATCTGAACTCAGATTTGTGTGGTTCCATGGTGACCTGTCAATCTAAGTCTATCATCTAACCTATGACAGTTCAGTGGCTTTGTGATCCAGTCCTGTTTGAACTTCAGCTCCTCATTTTCAAATTGAGGAACATGAAAGTGCACCTCCACCAGGCTCTTGTGAGGGATAGAGATGAAGCATGCAGCAAGGACTCATAAGTGTTTGCTACCAGTGTGAATATGATTATCGTGGAGCACAAGCTCTTTGAAGGCTGGATGGATGTCTAATTAGCCTTTCCATACCCCCAGCTGCCCCCCACCCAAGTCCTTGGCAGAGTAAATATCTAGTGCTCTGGGAAAGAAGGAGAAAGAGTGTGAGGGCCAGCACACCCAGAGTGCCAGGTGGGGCTTGCTCCTGCCCCATATTCTCATGGCCTCTGCAGGAGTTGGGGACCCCTGGCTGGAGCAGGCATGTCACTGGACTCCCAGGGGTGGTTCTGCACTACCTTATTAGCGCACCTCACATCTATGTTGAGTCTGAGGCCATTCCCAGCCCTCAAGACTCTGCTTTCCTAAAGCTATCCCCACATCCTCCCTAAGGAGCCCTTGGCAGGAAGGGCTCTGGTGGGAGGGGCCAGCTGAGGATGCGGCCTCACATCCATTACCATGTTGGATACTCACATCCGATAGCAGGCAGGACTGATGTCACTCCCATCTTACAGAGGAGGAAACTGAGGCCCAGCAAAGTGAGGCAACATGTCCAAGGTTAGTGAGCCTAGGATTGAGGTCTCCAAACATTCAGAAAAGGGCTCTTTTAATTAGTCTCTAATTAATTGCTCATCCTAAAAATCTTTCAAGGAAAAGGGCAGCTGTATAAATTTATAGACTAACTATCAAATAAAGGCATTGCTAATTATTACTGACTGCAGGGCATTCTGGGGAGGGTCTCAGCCAAGTTGGCTCTGCTGATTGCCTCAATCCCTGACCCTGACCAGAGCTAGCTAATTGCAGGAAGTTGCATTCATTCAGAAGCTGGGGTAAAGGCAACAGTAACAAGTTCCCTCTTGGAGGCTGGTGCATGCAGGAATGAGTCGAACTGGATGAGAACAATTGACTGTTCTGTAATCACCTCCAGCAGCTCCTGCTCAACACCCAACAGGGCCCCAGAAGGGCCTTTCCAGGTATAATGAGGCTGGGCAGGAGGAGACGGATGAGAATTCACCGGGTCTCACCAGGGCAGTTTGGTTTACAATCTGTCTTAGCCCCGAGCCCCAGGCAGGTGGGACCCCACAAAGAGATGATTCCTGCAAGTGCCAAGTCTCCCAAAGTTCAAGGGCAGGAAGTCATTTGCAACCCAGATGGGAGGAAGAGCAGCAGTGGGCTGGCCTCCAGACTGCAGGAGCCCTGGCCTGAGGGCAGTGGGCACACAGACAGTGGTCTCCCTAATCCTCAAAAGGTGCTAATTCTTCCTTCTATTGAGGAACAGTGACCAGGTAATTGGGGGTGAAGAAGGGGAACATGGGACTCTCGGCAGGCCCATATACGATGTATACAATCTCAATGAGCCCCCTCTCCCTTGACGAACACACACACACACACACACACACACACACTCTCTCTCTCTCTCTCTCTCTCTCTCTCTCTCCTCTTTTCCTTGCTCCTACTTTCCTTTATTTTCCCCGTAAGGGTGTGTTTCCTGACATGGTCCATGGAGTCCACATAGTGGACCATCTTAGAAATCAGTGCGTTCATTTCCCCCTGCACACTTATCATTTACAGGTGAAGGAATTGGGGCCCTGAGAGAGAAAGCCACCTGCCCAAAGTCATAGTAGCCAAACTGGGATGAGGGTCAGAAGGCCCCACTAATGGTTCTGGTGGGGTCAGTTCAATTCTGCTTCCATCTCCTGATCACTTGGCTATGTGTGATTTTTAATCCCAAACAACTATTCTCTCCTACCCGAGCCCCAAACCTAAGGCACTCCATTTTTCTGTGGAAGTGATGGCCAAAGGTCACACCGATAAAGGTAAATTAGAAAGGAGACCTGCAGGAGGAACAGACTTCTTTCTCTTTCAAAGATGTCACTAGAATTCATTTTCACCCAATTTTACCTGCCCTGGGGAGGAGGAAGAAGGAACTGAGCAGAGTTTAGTTCTGTAGACCAGCGCAACCTGCCCACAAAAGGCCCCAGGCAAACCCACACTCCCACATCATGAGCAGGGCTTCCTTGTAGATCAGTGGATCTCCACCTTGGCAGCAAACTGGCCTCAACTAGACCAAAAATATCAGTGTCTCGGGGCGGGGGGGGGGGGGGGGGAGGCAGGTATCAGTGTTTATAAAGCGCCACAGGTGATTCCAACGGACAGTCGAAGTTGAGCACCACCCCTTCTTACTCAGCGTGAGGCCACCAACCGGCAGCACCGACATGGCAGCACCGACATCACCTAGAGCTTGTTAGAAAGGCAGACCCTCAGGCCCCACCCCTATGTACCAGATCAGAATCTGTAAGGTCAGAGGGCCTACCACTGATCCATACACTCACTGAAGTCTGAGAAGCACTGGGGTGAGCTACCTTCGATAGTCCATCTCTCCACCTGGCAGCAATTCTGCAAGGCAGGTGTTCCATTCCAGAGGTGAGGAAACCCATCCTGAGAGAGGTTAACTCACTGGCCCAAGGTCACACAGTCAGTAATGGGACAGCCAGGATGTGACTGACCCCAGTCTGGTTCCAAAGACCATGGTTGGTATCGCACCAACCACTTCTTACAGCACAGTAAAATACATGGCCGCAGGGGAACCCCGAGTGCTTGGGTCCTCAGACCCACTGGGCACGCCCCGCCTTCGAACAGGATTCCACTTCCAGTGTCAAGTTCCCTAACTTCATAAAACCCAGCATAATTCATGAGAAAGCACAAATAGTAAACATGTGGGGGAAAGGTTCACTCTCCCTAGTAATCAGAGAAATGCAAATTAGAACAACATCGAGGAGCCATTTTCTACCGATATAATTAGCAAAAAAAGAAAGAAAAAAGGATGTTAGCAAAGTTGTTTTGAAATAGGTATATTCATACACGGTTGGTGGCGGTATAGATTTATATAACCCTTGAGGAAAGTAATATGGCAACATCCATCAAGAGCCATAAATATATTATGCTCACTGACCCTGGGAATTCGCCCTAAGGAAATAATTCAATAGGAGAGGAAAAGCTGTTTGTAGGAAGATGCTTATTGCAACATTTGCTGTGAACATTGGAGACAATATTCAGCAGTAAGGGGATGGCTGAGTAAACTGGGGGATACAGCAACTCCTGCAGTGGTATGCAGCTACTTAAAATGATAATTAAGAAGCCTGAGCAGCAAATGTGGGTGAAGGCAAGTAGAATGCAAAACTGTGTGTATACTGTGGTCATTATGATGTAAAAACCCCGTATGCATTGGATTTAGACAAGGAGGAGCTGAGCGCAAAGTGCGAAGACAACTGGTATTGCAGGGGGAAGGGACAATGGGAAGACCCTCTCCTTCTATTACATCTACAGTTACAGAAACCAGAGGAACCGGCCCTTCGAGAACAGCCTGGGGGCTCTGTGGTCAGGAGCCCTGTCTCTGAGAGGGGGGCACAGAGACACTCCCATTCTTCATCCCTGGGCAAAGGGCCACATTCCCCGATTCTCCTCGGAGGTGGGCTGAGCTGGCCCCTCCACTCCTGTGTGGGGCGGGGAGCCTGGGGCCACGGGAGGCCCCGCCCATCTTACCATGAAGCCCGGTGCACACGTGCAGCTCCCAGTGATGCTGTGGCAGTCAGCGCCGTTCTGACAGGTGCAAGGCAGCTGGCAGCCATTGCCGTAGGAGCCAGCAGGGCAGGACTCGTTGCAGTCGTGGCCAGACCAGCCTGGCTGGCAGGTGCACACCCCAGTGACTGGGTGGCAGCTGAGCAGATGAGAGAAGAATGAGAGGACAGTCTGGCCAGGGAGGCAGCCACGTCCCCCCCTCTGCCCACCCCAAGTCTGGTCGGCCAGGGTAGCAGGATCCAAGGGCCTCTGAGGTTGAATTGCTTACTGCCCTGTTTGTCAGAAGGTGCCAAGGTCACGTGGTCTTGGCGGCCCCGAGAAACTGGGGCTCTCGGTAATTACATAATTTGCCTCAAGTCACATAGCGAGGAAGCAACAGAATCGGGATTATAACGCAGGTCTTCTGACTCCTAAAGAAGTGCTCTTTCTAATACAAATACACACAGTCCAAAGAAGAAGGCAGCCTTCTTCAGTCCCTGCCCTAGGACTATGACATCCAGAGCCTCACTCACCCTGTACCCAGGGCAGATGCCTGGTGTAAGGGCAGGCACGAGACAGCTGCAGTGAGACCCAGTGGTGCTGATATTGTAGCTACTCCGCAGACATTTGCTAAGTTAAAATGAGACCTCAGGGCAGATGTGGCCTCCCCTCTCTGGCAGTGTCTACACAGAGAGAATACCTTCCATCTGGGCTTTGCTAGTGCTTTTTTAGAGTGACTGTGATAGTCTCCACCCCCTATCTGTCTAGGCTAGAGAGGCAGGGGCTGCCCGGCAGGACCCATAGAGGGTGGGCAATCCCTGGCTAGCAGAGGTCTGATCCAACAGCCACTAACCATCATGATCAGAGGCAACGCCAGTGTGGTGACCGTGTGCTTCTCAGAGCTTCTGGGGGCAGGGTAAAAGCCCAGTGGCCCCAGCTACTGTGTCTGATCTCCACCGCTACATTGGCTCAGAGCCCACATTTCCCCTGGGCTACTCCCAGCTAGAGCAGGGCGAGGGTATTAAGGTCAGCACATTCCTGGGAGGTCCAAAACTCCTCTGACAGGCAGTTTGGCTTGAAGACTCCCAATCTTGCCAGTCTTTCTTAGAACCGTGATATAGCCTAAGGCTTTCCACCCAGCCTTCCTTCCTTCCCTCCCTCTCCTCCACACGGGTCAGACCTAAACTGCAGTCTGATGTTTTCCTAGCCTCTCCAGCCCCGTCCCCGTTTTCCCTCATAGGTGTCTCCCTAGAAATCTCTTGCACGTGGGGAGAACCCAGACTAACACTCCAGAGAAGATGCTGGATGGTAGACACAAGCCGACCTTCCTAGATTCCCTATGTCACCTGCCTCTCAGCTCCGGAGTCCAGCTCAAGCGATAGGATCAAAGGAAGCATGCTCTGGGCTGGCAGGGGAGCCTGGGTACAAGTCTTGGTTCTGCTAAATTCCACAAGGACACAGGCTTTGTCTCCCTGGGTCACTGGTAGATCCCCAGTGCCTGGCTTGTATTCATTGCCCAATTAAGTATCTGGGAGTGAACAGTACTTTCACTACAAGTAATTATTGTCTGTGTCTATTGACTTGTTTATCATCTGTCTCCCCCACCAGGTGGCAGCTCCATGGGGGAAGGCCTTTTGTCTACTTCACCTTTCTGTGTATTGTACCCCAGGGCCCCACAGAATCCCTGGCACTTTGGAGATGCTCAGTACATATTTGGCAAATGAATTAATGAACACACTAATTGTGTGAAGCCCAGCCAAGCTCTTTCTCTTCTGGGAGCCCTGGTTTTCTCACGGAAAATGAGGGATGGATAGAAGCAGGCAGTTCCTGAATAGTAAGTGCAAGTAGCTAATAATCTTTTTGGAAAATGTTTAGCCTCATTAATTACCAAGTCAAAATAACAACCAGATATCACTATTTCTCTATCAAAATAGTATTTTTTTTTCTTTTTCTTTCTTTCTTTTTTTTTTTAATGAAAAGGGACAATATTCATTGCTGGTAAAGGGTTCTGGAAAACTATTTGGGGTTATGTAGCAAGAGTCCTAAAAATATTCAGACCCTTTGGCCTTATAATTCCATTTCTAAGATTCTATCTTAAGGAAAGAATCAGAGTTGTGGAGAAAGATTTATGCACAGAGATGTTCCCTAAAGCATTATTTATAACAGTGGGGAAATGGAAGCAATTTAAATAATAATGTGACCAGGCTTCTAAAACACCAGGCACTTCCCACACATTTCTCATCTTCAGATAAGCCCGTGAGTTGGGCACGAGAGCCTCTATTTTACGGACAGCACTTGGAGGTTATGTGACTTGCCCAAGGTCGGGGCTTAAGTCAGTGACAGCGGGGATTTAAGTCCAGGTCTGTCTGGCGGCCTCATGGCGCCTCTGACAACATAGTGCTCATTAAGTGAATTATGACAATTCATATGAAGGGATGTTAGAGAAGTATTCAAATGTTTTCCAAACTCGTTAGTGATAGAAGGTGAAGTGAAATAAGCAAATTATATACAAAGTCACGATCTAAAATATGGGAAAAAAATATATATCTCGACACGGATGAAGAACGAACAAATCACAACAAAATGGTTTTGGGGCTCACCTCTGGGTTGAGAAATTATGAGTGATTTGAAGTTTTTTCTTTGAATTTCTATGTCTTCTCGAACTTTCCCAAACTGAGCATCCTTTACATTTATAAACAGATGTAAAGCAATGAAAATTGTAAATAGGTAGAAAAGGAGAATCCTGTAAGGGGATGAGGGCTTGAAGACTTCCTGACTTTCCTGGCTCCAGACAAACTCCTCCCTGAGCCCCACACGATGAGAGGGAAACAGTAGGTTGAATGGGTGCTATGGGGCGGGAGGTCCCCACGTGGTGGCCCTGACCTTCAGCCAGACAGACGTGGGGCACGCCACTCTGTCTCAATACTCTGAGCCAGCCCCTTCTCGGTTCCAACCTTCCAGGGGCCTCCCCTGGGGTTAGAGGGACTGGCTCCGTGACGGTCCTGGAGACAGACACCTGTGGATCTAGCAAACGGACCCGGCAGCTCCGCCCAGCCCTGGCGATGCCCACGGGTCTCAGGCACGCTGCTGCCCTTCCCATCGGTGGGCTCTCTCGTCGCAGGCGCTGGCTCCGGTGGGACCACCACCCTGTGAGGAGCCTACCAGGCACGTGCCGGCAGGCAAACACTGACTTCTAAGAACTCCAGCAGTGCCCGCTTGCTGTCTCAGCTGCCACTGTTTTGGCTGCTTAGGGCTGTGCTCAGTGCCAAATTTACTTTCCACTCTAAGAACCAGAAAGCTCGAAACCGATTCTGCAATCACTTCTTTCTCCCTCCCTAAAATACTATGTAAAGAACCAAGATTTCTAGTTTCTTAATTTGATTGCTTATCATTTATTATAAAACCTCTCAAATCCCTTTGAAGAGAGGGTGGGCAGCGACCGCTGGCTGAGTGGTTTATGACCCAGAACTGGGGGTCTTCCTCACGTCTGATCTCTCCCAGGCACCCCTGCTCCCCACCCCCCTCCGCCCCGTGGGGGCAGAGCCATTCCCTTTGGTCACACGGTGGGCAAGTGACTGCTGGGGAGGCTCAGGCAGAAGTCACAAACAGCGGTGTTCAGGCTGGCTGTTTGCTCTCGTTTTTTTTTTCCCTTGTCTTTCTGCCATTTTCCCCAGATACAGATTAATCACAAGTTAATAGGAGCCGAAAGCTGAACAATACAGGAATCTTTTCATGGTGGATTTTTCTGTTTGTTTTTTTTCCCCCCTTTTTTTGGCTGCTCTGAGATTTCTATCAATGCTGCATGTGTTGACTAAATAAAATCTTTCAAAGGTAATGCACGATCATGGCTGCTAGAATCCGTCTACGACAATCCAGTTGTGGAGGGGACACGACAGAGGCCTGACACACAGGCACTTTCTTTCTCAAGGTTATTCCTTTACAAAGGGGGATCATTCCTTCGTGTGTGCTACAGAGCACTTATAAAGAGAACGAAGCGACAGGGAAATCTCACCCCAACCCCTTCTTCCTTCCCCGGGCATGTGGATTCAACCTCTCTGAAGCAGCCTCTTCAGAGGGCACCAGGCAGACAGAGGCTGGGGCCAGACACGTTGGGGCTTGAGAGTGCTTTGTCTTCCTGGGAAAGATCCTCCTTGCAAGGCCTTGCGAGCCTTCTTGATGGAGCTCTGTCTTAAGCACTCTTGGAAGCCAGGGGGGAAATGAGGCTAGGCTTCTGGGGATCCCACACTCCATCTCTCAGGGAGTTGGGTGGAAGCTTCACTTGCAAAGACCACAAGAGAACTTTTACCCACACTGGGCGGATGAAAAGGGATGGACAGATTGGGAAACTGAGACACAGAGAGGACAAGTACACATATCAGCCAGGACGCAGGGGTCCCAGACCCCACCCAGGCCAGCGTAACTGCCTCGAGATTAGGAGTCAGAGAATCCTCCCTCTACTTTTCTTGGACCCCAAGAGAAGGCTCTGTAATGGGACTAAGGCTCATGGAAGAGAGGAGCAACCTGTCCACACAGAGGAAGACAGGTGATCTCTGTGACCACGAGAGCAAAGCCAAGGGCAGCACGAGAGAGTTCAGTCAGGCCAGAGGCTCTCAACCAGGGGCCATGTTGCCTCTCCCCTCCGCACCCAGGAAACAGTTTTGCCTATCAGAACTTGGGGGGCTGGTTGTTGCCACTGGTGTCTAGTGGGGAGAGGCCAGGCATGCTGCTGAGCACCCTACCATGCACATCAAAGAATTATCCAGCCCCACATGTCAATAGTGGCCAGGGTGAGACAGTCTTGAGTTAGAACGAATGAAAACGTGTGAGTGTTGCGGGTTCAGTTATTGGGCCAGTGTGCCAATCACTAAAAAGGATAAGAAGGCAGATATCAGGTCGGGGGCAGAAGCACCTAGAGGAATGCGCTGCTGTGGGGGGAGTTCGGTGATTCTTCTCACTGAATGCTCTGTGCCAGGCCCCGCGCCGTGCTGAGGCCGCAGCGGGGGACCAGCCAGGCCACTCCTGCCCTCAAGGGGCCTGGGCTGTGATACAGCTCAGTGTTGTGCCGACACGGAGGAGCCCAGCCTGGAGCCCCCAGTTCTAAGAAACGCTGCTGACTCCCAGTCCCTGCGACAGGAGCACGTGTTAAAGACAGTAAAGCAAACAATCATCAATATTGGATGGGCTGAGATTAGCGACGGAGAAGAGGGAGTCCTTCCAGATTAATAATGCATCGAGGACTCCTTCAGAGGAAGGATAAATTATGCAGGGCACAGCTGCTCAGGCACAGGAGGAAAACAGTGGCTCTTTAATTTGGGGGTTGGTTGGATCTCTGTGGCAGGGATTCTCCCTGCACTGGACTTCAGCGGCAGCCTTGCTTCCGGGCCCTGAGAGAGTCCTCCCTTGGCTGTCAGCAGGGGTGGGGGCTCTTGGTGCAGTTCTCCACCTGTGCAACAGGCTCTGGCCGGCCATAGGGAACCCCTGTCTTTGAGAGCCTTAAAGCTCTTACCCTGTCCTCCAGACCTAGCCCAGATGCCACCTCCTCCAAGAAGACTTCCCTGACCAGCACAGCAGTTTGCTCCGGTGCTTTCTACACACAGCCCTGGTCACAGTTACTTGAGCACACGTTGGGACCCAGCAGGGCCAGCCACACATAGCTCACTGATTCTAAGATGCACTTTCCCCCACATTTCACACCTCAGATACTGCGTGTGCTATACAATCAATGGTGTATCATGGTTCAGTTAATAGCATCCTCCTTTCCTAGTAGTACATAAAACAGGGCTGTGCCTCACTCCTGGGACTGTCTCGTACTTGCAGAAATGTGGTAGAAGGTGCTCAGTGTGTGTGAGTGCTCCAGACCCGAGTTCCCAAGGGCTGGACTGGTGCTGAGGGACTCGCTTTTCCTCCTCGTGGTCCAGCCCTGCAGGCACTCGGTGTTTGCTGAATGGATGACTGAGTGAATGAGTGCTTGGGTCATAGACGGGCCTGCTCTGCTGACTCCAAAGCCCCTCTCAACAGCCTCCTTCCCAGCCCTCTAGATTGCAGATGGCTCCACCCTAGCCGCTCAGCTCCAGGGACTGAGGACCAAGGACAGATTCAACCCAAGCCAAAACACTTGCAGTGACCAGAGGCTCTTGGGGGATTTGTGGAGAATCAAAAGCTGGAAATGAAGAGGGGGCTGAGGCCAAGTCCTGGCTGTCCCAGCAACGGGGTTGCAAAGAAGAGGCATCTCTGGCCTGCAAACTACTGCAATACCCACCGCCCAGAGCTGCCAGTCCTCCCCTGAGCTGTCCTGCAGGTCCGAGCGGAGAAGGGAGACTCCCTCACCCTTAACCACCTAGATAAGGGGCAGCCACATAAAAGGCTGTGGAGGCCTTCTCTGGGGCCAACAGCCTCATTTATCACCAGAGGGTGGCGCCAGCTGGTGCGTGAAGTGGGACGTGAAGAGATGCAGAAGAGGGGGCCGGGGCGCTCTGGCTTCTCTGCTCCCCAGACTCAGGCTCCCCTGAAGCTCCTCCCTCATGGGGCCAGCTTCAGCCGAGGCGACCTCAAGCCCGAAAGGACACAGAGTGCAAGGAGAGGCTGGGCCTGAGCTCTGTCCCTCCTGCTCCTCCACCCTAGCCAGGGCCTGCTGGGACAGCCCTCACCAGGCCCTGGGAGAGCCCTACTGACCTTTAAGGTCCCTTCCAGTATGGGCCCTCTGAGGCTCAAGCCCCTGCTTCTGCCCTGGCAGTCTCGTCTCCGGGCCTCTAGGGGTTGGGGAATGGCTTAGTTAGATGTAGAGCACGTGGAGGGGACATTTCTCAAGGACAATGCCCCCGAAGCACTGTCCCATCCCAGCACCACAGGATCCTGCGGCTCCATCCCGCCCTGCTACCCTGAGGATCACCCAACTCCCTCCTTGCTCCTTTACAGCAGGTCTCAGGTGGCCCTGTTTTCCAAGCTGGCAGCCGGGTATGGCAGACAGAGGCAGGTGACCTGGGTCCCGGTCCTGGCTATCTGTGTGGCTTTGGCTTCCCCTTCTTTCCATCAGAGTCATCAGGTAGCAAAGGCAACTGCTGAGCCCCAGCTCTCTCGCTGCCCTGCCTGGGTGACCTGGTCTGTGCCCCGAGAAGCCCCCTCTCCACCGGTACCCACCCACCCAAGCATCCCCGGACCCCAGCTCGTACCTGATGGTGTTGTCGGCATGACAGGGGCAAGGCAAGGTGCAGCCGGGGCCGTGCAGTCCCTCGGGGCACAGCCGCTCCTGGCATCGCAGGCCCTTGTAGCCAGGCTCACACTCGCAGGCTCCGGTGGTGGGTGAGCACTGACCCCCGTTGTGGCAGTCACAGCGCTGTGAGCACTGGAAGCCGAAGGTCCCGAAGGGGCATTCCTCTTGGCACCTGCAGGACAGCAGACGGGGGTTGAGGCTGTGCCCCCTCCCCTCCCAGATCTGACCAGCACGCACCCTCGCCCATCAGCCAGTGAGCACTGCCCCCCCCCTCCCCCGGAAGGAGGAGGACTGAGCTCCTTCCGTGTCAAGTAGTTTGCCTGCTCCTCAGAGCGCCCAGCGTAACCATAATCCTTCCACTCATTGCCTCACAGCCTCTGTTGGGGAGTGTGATGCCCGCTGCCGACTGCCCGACGCCCCCCACCCCAGACTGGGGCTATTCCCCAGGGATGCAGAGTCTTTGCCCTGCACCTGGACCCTGACAAGGTCAGGGGGACACCTGCGGGCATCCAGGGTAAAAGAGGCGGGCGGCTCCTGCGTCCCAGAGACTTGGGAAATGGCCTCTGGGATTTTCATGACCCGCGTCCCGGCACGGCTCCCGTGGTGCTGGAAGGTCAGTCCTGACATCGGCTTTCTCGTCATAAAATGGGATGATAATACCTAAAGCTCACTAAGTTGTTTGAGGATTAAACGAGATAAGGTGTGTAAACGTTTGGAAAGGTGTCCCACGCGTGTAAGGGCTCAGGAAGAAATGTTAGTTACGATTAATATTCTTGTTAATACTGTTCTCTGAAGTTCCTGGAACAGAGCCCATCCGACCTTCCGCCTCAGGTACTGGCATGAACAGGCTCGGAGGGAAGAATTCCAAAATGTTACCTACCGAGTGGACTTGAGGAATTCTAAAGTGTTCTTATTGTCATCTAGACAACCATTTTCTGGTTTCCTGTGCCTTCCACAATGGCGGTGGAGAGGGAGCAATAAAAGATGCTTTTTAAAAAAAATAGAACACAGCCCTAACTTCTTTATTAAATCTTGGAGAGTCATGAGTTGGGAGCCAGTGCCGTTCTCCCCAACAGGGCAGGGAGAGCCGTGTCTGGGGGCCCTCACGCGCTGCTCATGAGGGCACGTGGCGGGGCCCCAGCGATGCTGTCGGGCTGGGCGGCGAGTGCCTGAGGCCCAGAGTGGCCGGGGTGTCGGATGCGAGTCCTGGCAACTCTGCCCAGATGCCACTGTTTTCTCTTTGCCACCTTGTGCCCACAATGACAGGGAGAGGAGTAGGGTGACTGGGGTCTAACCTTGAGGGCTTCCCCAAGGAAGATGCCACCCATTGTCCCCTCACAGAGTCACTGTGGCAAACGGAGGTCCATGGCGGAATGGAGGGGCAGCAGGGATGAGCACGGTCACAGCCCGGGGCAACGGCCAGAAAGGGGCTCCCAGCTAGGCAGGCCCTAAAGCTGGACCCCGGGCCCTTAAAGCAGGGGGTATGCCCATCACCCTCACTCTGGAGAGGGCTGGGATGCAGACAAGTGAGGTGTGTCCCAAGCTCATACAGCCTGCAAGTGGCCGAGATGACCCCAACTTGTTGCCCACCAGATCTTGCGGCATTTTAGCCAGTCCAAGGTCCCATTTGGGAAAGAGAAGAGAAAAGAGAGAGAGGAAGAGAGAAGAAGGAAGAGGTTGTCTGGAGAAGAAACAGAAGGTAGAAGACAGGAAGAAGGAGGAGTAGTGGGATAGGGGAGGGAAAGAGGGAAACTGAGGCAGAAGGGCAGGACACAAAGCATTGAAGGGCTGGAAAATCACTATCTGAATTGTTAGCTCCTCTTCAGCCTCAGAATGGATTTTCTCAGAAGTCAGTCAGTTTGGTTCTCCTCAGATGTCTCAGACACCAGGGCAAGAAACCCAAGCCAGGAGAGCCTCCTGACAACTCCACCTTTCCACTGGAACATTCCTGCTCCCTGCCACCCAGCAGGACTGGGCAGAGCCCCGGCCAGTGAGCTCCCCATGAAGGGCACTACCCGCCCCCCCCACCGCCATATTTATGAAGTGACTGACTCCATAGCCCCAGAAAAAGAATCTGGAAATGAAATATTGACAACCTAATCCATTTACATAATCAGCTTTTTTTTTTTTTCCTACTCACAATTTAAACAACTTATTTATTTAGAGATCAAGCAATGACTGCTAATGAATTTTCCACAAAGCACACTAATAACGGGGCCTGTGGAACAGAAGGGTAATCACAGCAGGAATTAGTTTTCTACTTAAACATCTTTCCTTTGCAACATATCAATCTAATGTGTCTGATATTGCCATTAACAACCAGATCCATTGCTCAATTAAATTACAAAATGAGCTGCAAAGCCCTCGTTACGTTTCATGTTTAATTTGCACTGGATTCTGCCTATCCAGGGGGGCCCGCGTTATTACACCCACTCAACTTTAATATGCTTGCAATGATTTGGGGAGGGTTAATGCAGCTGTCACCTACAAAATTAATGGAGGCAATTTTATAAAATATTAAGCACTAGGCGGCCCATTGAGGTGGGAAACCCAAATGCTACCCGGCTCTCCCCGTGAACTCTCTATAGTTAATGGGTGAAGCTTGCTCAGAGGCCCCCAAGGGTTTGGGATATCTCTCTGCCCCGGGATCATGGGCTGGCCCCAACAAGATGAGGGATTAGGATTACTTTTCTGTTGGGTACATCTTGGCAGTGAAAACTGAGAGAGCCAATGATGTAGGGTCTACTGGTGCTGGGTCCCACCAGCTGGAAGTCCGGGCCTGTTCATCTCCAACAACAAGTGAGCTGGATTACCTCTCATGTGCAAGTGGACTGAAACAAAGGGTCCCGTTCTGGTTCTGGGGTCTTCCAGCTCCTGACCCTACTAGCTCATCCTGAACATTTCCCTTACTGGGGAAGAGGGTGAGGATGGGAAGTTGGGCTCAGTGCTTCAGTCCCCCCTCCCACCCACTTCCCCCAGAGACCCCCTCTCTGAAAGAAGTCAGGGAAGATCTCTGGATGCCATACCCCATGTTCTGAGGCTGGGAAGCTCATGTAGATGAACACTAGCTTACAAAGAGATCAGATCTGGCTCAAAAGACTTTAGGCTAGAGGCAAACAAACCTAAGGCAAAAAAAGGAAAATCACTTTTCTGGACATCACCAAGGATTTGGGGCTGACTCCAGTGACAGTTGGAATAGTCACAGCCAGAAGGATCGATGAGTTGACTCAGCTTCAATCCCTGCTTGCTGATGTTACCTGGGCAGGGGAAGCAGGGGATGGTGAAAAAATGTTCCTCCTGCCTCGCTTTGTCTGGGCAGAGTAACAAAATCCAGGGCCAGAGATGAAATCTGGATCCCACAGAAGCAGAGAAGGGGTGTGAGGACCTCTGCCCTACCGCTCCTCTCTCTTCTAGAAAAGATGCATATAGTTGAAGCATAGCCGGGTCCTGTCCGAGACAAATGTCCTCTTCTAGCTCTGAATTCACTCACCATCCAACACACTAGTTGTTGCCTCTCTCTCTTCCACAGCACCTACCCGATTGTCATAGCATCCTTCTTCCTGCCTCAGCCAATGTGCACACACGGGAATTCCTCAGTGATATGTTCTGTGGGTTATCCGCTCCACAAGGCTGGTTTGATTCCAGGACATTGGAGCCCCTGTTCAGCTGTCAGGCCACTAGCCCTCAGAGGATGCAAACTGAGGCCAGTATCCTTTTGGTACAACCCAAATTCGGAATCAAAATTTAGTTCTAGAAGAAATTATGCAAAATGTGTGAACTAGCATGCACTCCCAGCTTCTCTGGACTATTGGTGCCGTTGCCTCCCTCCAGTAAGGCAGGTAGCAGAGTGGGTGATCGGTGCCCACCTCCCTCTCCTGGTGAGTCAGTGCGAGTGTAGGGCTTGGGTCACTGGGCAGGGGGAGGGGCGTGTGTGTCGCAGGCCAAGGGCCAGGAAGGATGAGTGATGAATCTTCCTGGCCTGAGGACTCCGAATGCTTCCTGAGAAGGCAGGAAAGCTCACAGAGGAATGCTGTGGGCTGGGAAACCTCCGCCGCTCTCTGCAAGGCCTCTGGGAAAATGAGCCACACGCATGGCAAGGACGACAGTTAATTCTCCTCTTACCTGTCCCCCATGTAGCCAGCTGTGCAGTGGCACTGCCCGGTCACATGATCACACTGCCCTCCGTGGTGGCAAGGACAGTCCTGGCTGCAGTTCTGGCCGAACGTCCCGGGTGGGCAGGGCTGGGCACACACTGCTCCCTGAAGCAGAGGAGGGGAGACACACATGACGTCACTCTCTCCTAGAACTGGCACAGCTGGTACAGCCCCGGGGACCATCCCGTTTCCTCAGTGGGACTTTCTCCGCAATCACAGGAGCATAAGAAGCTGGACACTGTGGCTCTAAAGCCCCATTTGAGAGATAGGGAGACTGAGGCCCATCGGCTCCTCCGATTATTCAGCACACACTTATTAAGTGCCTACTGTATACCAGGCACTGTGTTAGACATTGGGGAGACAAAAATATGAGGAAGTGAGCTCCCAGTTTACTGGGGAGAGAGGTAAGAGATGCAGATAACTAAAGCACAGTGGCTAAGCGCTCTCACGCTGGCCTACCATAAAGTGCCGAGGAAAAACAAAGAGAATCTGGTCTGGAAACACACACTTTATTTCCACTCCTTTCCCAAACCCTGCTAACACAAGAGCAAAGGGGGAAAAGGTATAAGCCTACAAGGACAAAAGGAATGGGAGCAGAGTCCATGCAGGACACGAGATGTCACATGCTGGAAGATCGTAACCTCGGAAAAGCTCAGGAATCAGAGACATCAGGAACCTCTGAGGGTCAGAATGCAGGTATGCTGAAACAGGAGGGCTGTCTGAAAGTGTATAAAAGAGAGAATAAGACCCCAGATCTCTGCCCCCGCTTCAAAGAGCCAGGTGACTTGCCCAGTCTGGCAGAAGCCTGGCAGTTGACTTTTGAAGAGGTTGGCCCATGTAGGTTTGGACATGAGGATGCCAAGCACGGCTGAAGGGGTGCCAGGAGAAACGGGGATCCCGTGCACCTCTACCTGCTCAGCAACTAGACTGCTGATTCCCACTGGCAAGGTTTTGGAGGATTCTTTTCTGGGGGGCACCGATAAACTCAGAAGGAAAGACCTACAGATACTGATATTTAAGGGTCCCATCAGTCAACAAGCCTGGCAACTCCCTCTACCCCCACAGGTTTCCAACCAGCTTTTCTGAGGCTCACCGTAAAACATGAACAGGTGGTGAAGGACCACCAGATAGTTCAAATAAGGCTCTAACAAGACAGATGAAGACCTAAGCAGACAAATACCCAAGTGGAACACAGAGGAAATAGGAACTAAGCAGGGAGCAAAGAAAACTTATAAAAAGAGAATTAAGAACTTCTATTATAATTAAAATGAATATCTGTAGGTAGTTATATGAAATTATTTTATCTATGAAAGAGTGGAGTGCTATAAAAGGGGATATCCAGAGAAAAGCAAAGAGTTTTTGAAATCTAAAAATAAGATGGCAGATATTTTTAAATTGCAATAGAAGAGCTGGAGGATGAGGAAATCTCCCACAAAGAAGAACAAGAAAGAAGGGGAAGGAGGGGAGGCACCAAGGAAGGAAATTGTAGGCAAAATATAATAAAATTAGAGGATCCGTCCAGGAGGTCTGATATCTGAGTAACAGAGGATTCCTGACAGCAGAACAGAGAAAATGGAGGTGCCTAAATTAAATGGGAAATATAATACAAGAAAATTTTCCCAGAATGGAAGATGGAAAGCACTGATCTCTGAATTGAAAAGGCCTATAGCATATCCAGCGTGAAAAGTGAAAAAGACCCATATTAAAGCTTATCACTATAAATTTTTATACTTCTATGGATACATTCTCCTCAAAGCTTTTAGAAAGTCACATATAAAAGAACAGGAACCAAAAGATACCAGGCTTCTTAACTAGAAGCTAGAAGATAATGGACTAATGCCTTAGAAATTCAGAGGAAAATAGTTTGTAACCTAGAACTCTATATCCAGCTAAACTAACACTTAAGGGGGGATTCAATAAAGGCATTTTCAGATTTGAACAGCCTCAAAAAATTTAACTTTCCATGAACTTTCTCAGGAAGCTACTGGAGGATTTTCTTTTCATCAAAAAGAATTATCCAAGAAAAAGAAAGAAATGGGGATGCCAACAGAAGAGACAGGTGAAGGGAATTACCGGGTGGCAGTGAAAGGGAGTCCAAAACGACACCAGGAAGCAGGAACTGAAACACACAAAGCTTCAGTGTGGGAGTGCAGCCTCAAAGTAAAAAACAGAAACAAAAACCAAACTGAGAGATATCTGATGTGTCTGACCTTATCGAGAGGTGTTTTCAAGTTCTGCCAGAGAGTCTTAGGGATGAACTAGTAATGATACATAAGTGAGCATATCAACGTAAACAATGATTTTGAATTCATTATGTCATGACATTATGAAATCATTAATGTTATCAAAATGATTCAACCAAAAATTGTAAGAAAGTACCACTTGAGGGTGGGGGAAGGGTTGCACTTGTCTGTATCTGATCTGAATCTTATTCTTTTTTTTTTTGAAGATTTTATTTATTTATTTGACAGAGAGAGACAGTGAGAGAGGGAACACAAGCAGGCAGAGTGGGAGAGGGAGAAGCAGGCTCCCCGCTGAGCAGGGAGCCCGATGCGGGGCTCGATCCCAGGGCCCTGGGATCATGACCTGAGCCGAAGGCAGACACTTAACGACTGAGCCACCCAGGCGCCCTTCTATGGTAGGAAGTCAACAGTTTCAACACATGTCTACAATGGAAAAGTCAGGAAATGGCAGTGAAATATGTGGTGCAGAGATATGGACGGAAATGCCAGAAGAAACACAAAATGTGAACAAACCTGCCTTTCTGGAGTGGGATTTGTGAGTCAGTCGGACAACTATTTTCCCCTCCATCCAGTACTAGCCTTGTGGGATTAGATAACTTCAAACATTATATCTACGAATCTTAGGTCTTTATTAAACAGAAACTGGAGCTTGCTGCCCTTCCAGCTGCTCCCATACCAGAGATAGTCATTTCTCTTATGGAGACTGAGGGTTCTCCCATAATTCATTAATCAGTTAGTTCAACACACAGTTATTAAGCACCAATAATTGCCAACCCAGAGGAAGCTAGTTTGCTTAGGAAAATGCTGCCAGAACCGACTCATTTTTCAATATCATCCAGTTTACTGTAATGAATTAAGGGGGAGACCTTTTAGCTCAGATTTCTCTTCCCCACATGTGAGAAGGTGAGGGGTGGAGGTGGGACAGGGGAATGGGGATTGAAGGGGCAGAGGCAGCAGCCGATGACAGCAAGATGAGTGTGTATGTGAGGAGAGGGACAGGGAAAAACCACAGAGGAAGGGGGCCTCTTCCTCCTGGAGGTGGTAGGGGCTCCCCACAGAGGCCTGCCTTCCTCAGTGCACCCCACAAGCTTCTGAGACATGACCAGGGCCCCCTGAGGAGGCCAGTAGGGAAGCTTTGTGCACAGAGTACTTCCTTCCAACATTTCCTGAGGAAATCAAGCATCCTGGAGACTTTTTGGACAGGTGGGCAAGCACCTCCTTAAGCCCCTGCTCAATGTTTCCCAACTGCAGGCACCCAGGTGCCTGAATCCCTGGGCTCCTCCTCGGGCTTGAGCTCCTGGAGCCTGAAGGAATTCAATACCTTGGAAGGCCTGCTGCCTGGTATGGTTGGCAGAACACTGGACTCAAAGTCAGCACTTGGGTTCAAGTCCCAGCTCTGCCTCCTCCCAGATGGCTGAGCTAGAATGAGCCCTATGATTGTTCTGAGCCTCAGTTTCCTCACCTATAAAATGGGAGTCATAACTCCCAGTCTCCAAGGTGGTTGTGGAGGTTAAGTGAGGTTAGAGATGGGAAGGAACCTAGTATAGTGTCCTAAAGAGCAGTTCCTTAATTAATAATATTAATTCCACCGAAGTGGACACCCAATGTTGCACATCGTAGGGGCCCAGGACCAGCAGAGCCTTGAAAGAGTGGGAGAACCTTAACTGGTAATGTTGCTGGTTGGAAGAACAGGCACTGGGGGTTGGGTGGGGGGAGAGAGCAGGCAGCAAAGTGTCAGCTTAAGAGAAGAGGTAATAAAGTTAAAATGAGGCCATTAAGGTGGGCCCTAATCTAATCTGATGGGTATCCTTATAAGAAGAAGAGATTAGGACACAGACATGCTCAGAGGGGAGACCCTGTGAAGACACAGGGAGAAGGTAGCCAACTACAAGCTAAGGCAGGAGGCCTCAGAAGGATCCAAGCCTGCCAACACCTTGATCTTGGACTTCTAGCCTTAAGAACTGTGAGAAAAGACAGCACCCCAGTCTCTGCTACTTTGTTACAACAACCCCAGCACACGAACACACCTGCTCTATGGTCATCTAGAGGGCCCATCTCCAACTGTGGCGGGATCTTGGGCGGTGTGGCATCCAGAAGGTTGGAGATAAGAGGAGGCAATAGTCTCCCTCCTCTCAGAACTGGTTAGACCAAATGGTTTGTCAAAATCTGGAAACCAGCCACTCTTTAAGAGGACCGTGGCTAAATGGAGCAAAAATGATAAAAGGACTTAGGCAGGTCACATCGATTCTCCCAGAGAAGGGACCACTCAGCCTCTCCAACCACCGTCCCAGGTAGCATGATGCTCTCAGTGGTCAGTGACCAATGGCTGGTGTGGGTGCTGAGGAAATGGTCCAGGTACTGGCGAGGGCGTGGGTCTCTACGAATCATCCTTCCTACACCTGAGCATCTGTAATTTTGCAGCCTCAGCTCCAAAGGCCAATCTCTGGCTCTCTGGGACACCTGGTCCTAGTTCCCAGCACCTCAGCCCCATCTCTCCTCAGGCCTGTTGTTGTTTCGTGTGTGTGTGTGTGTGTGTGTGTGTACATGTACATACATACGCTATATCCAGTATCCACCATCAGACTGGGGACTCCTAACGGGGCCCGATCACATCTCTTACCTCCTCTTCTGTCTGCAGTGCCCACTCTCATTCAACTACTCACACCTGCTTTCTCTCCTCTGAACAGTGAAAGAGAGTAATTTCCCAGGCACAAGCTAATGACAGCTAGGCAAGTGGAGTGTCCTACAGGCATACTTAGAGCCTGGTGGCCAGGAATCTCTGAGGAGGGGCCTGGAGGGCCAGAGATCCCACTTATATTGGGGCTCTTCTCTAGCTCTGCACCAGGCCTCAGTCTTTTGGGGACCCACACTGTGTGACCCAGCAATTGTATTCTTTAGATCTCTGAGTGTGGCTGAAGCCACCTGGGCCCAACAAGAAAGTGAGGTCTTGGAGGATGATCAAGGCAGGACCCTTCCACCCAGCACCCTCTTCTGGGCCCCAGGCCCCCCCTGGGAGGGGCCTCAGGGCTGAGCCACAGCTTCATTCCACTGTGACTCTGCATGAATGAGGGGTATTAATAATTCATACAAATCTGCAAGTTAAATGCTATGTCAAAAATAGAAATGCAATTGTCTACAATAAAATTAAAAACATAAAGTCTCCAAATCCAAAGGCTTCTATTGCCAGAGCTCTCTGTCACCGGGAAGAACAAACCTCTCACTGTGTTGGGGAGAAAAAGAAATTCTTCCATGTGTTGGCCTCCTCCCTTCCCCTTCTTTGACCACTGGCCTCCATCGGTCTCTCCAGAGAGGCCTTTACAGGGACAGGGCCTGCCTGTGGCCCATTCTCCTCCTACCTCCCCCAGAGCCAACTTCACTGCCTGCTGCTAGGCCTCTGAGGACCCAGTCTGTGGGTGGTGGAATTCTGGAAGCTGGCTGGAGATAAGAGGGTCTTCCCAGAGAGTGGTTCAGGGTGGGAGAAATGGGCAAGTGTGGGAGAGGCAGCCGTAGTTCCCTTTGTCCTCAGACACCAAGGGCTGGGTTTTGGGAGTCCAGAGTCAGGACACCCAGATACTAGCCCACCTTCCTCTTAACCAGCAGCGTGGCCTTGGGCAGGTTACTCAGCCTCTCTGGGCCTTCACTTCTTCATCTGAGAAAGGGACATCTTGATGGACCAGTGGTATTCAAACTCTAAACGCTGGGAGACCCCGTTTTTATGTGAAATTTTACCTAGAACCTCCATATAGAAAGTAGATTCAAATGGAGAAGAGGTGGAGAGTGGGACCGAGAGCCCTAATTATCAGGCTCCTCGCCCTCACCCCCAAGAAACCCTAGGGTTCTGTGAAACACAGAAGGAAATCCTATAGTCTTGATCAATTATTTCCAAATGCAGACCAGCAGACAGGGTTGGCTGCCTCAGAATCATCTGGGGAGCTTATTAAAGATAGAGATCCAGGCCCCAGAAGATTCCTGGTGGGGCCTGGGAATGTGTACTTAAGATCCCCACCCCCGGAAACTCTGTGTGCAGCCAGGTTTGGACACTGGTGCACCAAATCATCCCCTGATCCCGTCCTGCTCTAGAAAATCCTGGCACATCTGTGCCTCAGTGGGCCCTGCAGGCGTCCGCCCTGCCTGCTCCCCATGACCTCTGCCTTCACAGCCTCCTGAAATATTCTGCTCCTGCCCAGTAACCCTGTCCTCTCTGGCTTTGCAAAGTCTCAGGCCCCAAGGGAGGCAGCCAGCTGGGACACCCAGCTTCCCCTGAAACAGGGGGTGTTCCTGGAGAGTCGGAGGCAGAACACAGCCCAGGAAAGTCAGCCTTACAGACTTGCTGCTCCTGAGAAGCTTGGGTCTTTGGCAGGGGAAGGGAGTGTGTTGGCTAATAAGGAGGCTTGTACATTGTTTGTGGGATCCAGGGATATAACACAAGCAATTATAAAGGACTTCAGAGTTTGCAAGGCACTTTGGACATGCACTGCCTCATGTGAGCCTTTTCCCAAGCATGGCAGTTATGAAGGGTAGGGCTTGACTAGTGTATCAGTTCTGCTTACAGAGGGGAAAACAGAGACCAGAGTAACTGAGTACTTTTTTCAGTGTCAACACTGGAGGTAGCACCTGAATTTAGGCCTGTGAGGTTATAATTCCCTTTTCCAATGTAGTGGTTCCCAGACACAAGACCTGGACTGGTGGAGGCTGCATAGAATCGCCTGGAGCACATGTTAAAATAGATTCTGGGCCCACAGAACCAGGATGTGTGCATGAGAGAGCAGGGGACAGAGGCTGGATATCTGAAGTTCTAGAACCTCGGGGGATCCACACGCTGCCATCTTCCCTCCTCCTCCCACCTGCTCCCCTGCCCTTATACCACACCCTTTCGGCCACATCTGGCCCAGAGCCCACGGCAGCTCAGGTGAGTACCTATGCCCAAGGACAAAGCTGATCTAGATATCCACTCCTTTGAGCATGAGGGACCACAGACTCAGAGAGGTTAAGTAACTTGACATCAGTTCACACAGCCCTTAGATGCAGACGTGATTCAAAGTTGTGTCCACTGGCAATGTCTAGTGATGCCCATGACCCAGACAGGAGGGAGGGTTTTCAGGGTGGGAGAGGAATTTAGTCCGCCCAAGGTGTGTGAGTGAGGGATGCTCACCCCTCTTACAGGGTCCCACCCAGGTCCCGTGGGCCCACCTACCGTCCAGCCTGGGGGGCAGGCACACTCTCCTGTGATGTGGTGGCAGGAGCCCCCATTCTGGCAGGGACAGCGCAGCTCACAGTGAGCCCCATGACTCCCAGGGGGGCACAGCTCCTCACAGCTGCATGGGGAAGCAGAGGTGTTAGACATGGCAGCGTTCGGTCAGATGGCAGGGCCCCAGGGCTCCCTAGGAATTAGTGAGTTCACCATCAGCGTGAACTGGGCTGCGGTTAGCTGAAATGCAGTCCTGCTTCCCGCCAGAAGGGGGAAACAGGGCTCGGATATAATGAACTGGAATGTTTTGTGCTTGGGCCAGTACCTGTGGGATGACTTAACGTGCTTAGAGTGTAAAGAAGAGTGTTCCTCTGGGGAGGAAGGTTTCCGGAAGAGGAAGACATTTTATTTGGGTCCTGAGGGTGAAGTTAGTTTCACTGGGAGAAGGGAAGGGCATGCCAGGCAAAAGGAATAGCATGAGTAGAGGGCACTGAAAAGTGGTTATCCATCCAGCTTTTAAGAATCCACCTAGATTCTTAAAGATCCGGGGAGAGGGAGTATCTGGGGCCTGCTCCACTTCCAGGCTCTGGAAGGTTCTCAGCTATCATAACAGGCTCACATGCACTGCTGAGGTATGAGGGAGGATTTGCACATGGTCTTGGCCTTGAGCCTTAGGGCAATGGCCCTGGCCTCTAGCTGGAGCTGGCCCTGGAGCTGGCCAGACATTGGGGCAGGAAACATCCTCAATCAAGGATATGTTCCTGGCCAATGTCCTTGGGTGCCCTCTCAGGATCTAGGGCTATTGGGAGGCCACGGAACCTTCAACCAGGTGGGGAGGAGAACTTCAATCTTGCCTCTGAGGGGGTCTCAATTAAGCAGTCGTGGTGGTCCCCTGTCAGTACAGACTCCAGAATACTGGAGTGAGGGGCTGTTGGGGTCTGAGGGGGAGAAGACAGGGGAGAGGAATAGGCACAGTAAATTCCCCGAATCTATGCATGATACCTGCCCAGGGCCCTCACCCACCTCTTTCTCAAATGGCCTCGAAGGGTCAGGACCCAGGTGAGCGGGGGCATTTGGGTTATGATCAGAGAATGCCAAGCTAAGGTCTGGGGCCCCAGACAGGAAGGTGGAGGAGTTTAATGAACTCCCCGGGGCCATGCTTGGTCTCAGCTGGCACCAGTCACCCTGGGGCCTGGGTGGGAGGGACCTAACACCTGCCTGGGAGACGCCTGGGTATTAAACCTCTGTTGGACTTGGAGTCACAGCGCCGGAGATCCGACAGCCAGGGATACCTTGAACTTCTGCTGCGAACACTTGCCCCCGAGTCAGGAGCCAGGGGCGGACTGCGCAGCTGCGGGAGGGAGCCGCCCGCCCGGCCCCGCCCCTCGGCCCCGCCCCGCCCCTCGGCCCCGCCCCGCCCCTCGGCCGGCGGGCGGTACTCACTAGACTCCCGTGTAGCCGGGGGCGCAGAGGCACTGGCCGGTGCGGGGGTCGCAGCTGGCTCCGTGGCGGCACTGGCACGGCAGCTGGCAGCCCTTGCCGTGGGTGCCGGGCGCGCAGAGCTCCTCGCAGCGCCAGCCGCGGAAGCCGGCGGCACACACGCAGGCGCCCGTGATGGGGTTGCACAGGGCTCCATTCTGGCACTGGCATCGGTTGCTGCAGTGCGGGCCCCAGTGGTCGCCGTCACAGCCTGCAAGACAGGAGCCGGTCAGGGCGGAGGGAGGCCCCTGAGGGGCTCTCCTTGGGATGGGGGCCAGCACCGATGCCCCCACGGCGGCCTTCCTACCTCTGCATTGCTCTCTCCTGGAGAGGAGGCAGCAAGGGCCGTTTGGGTGGAAGCTCTGGCGCCTCATAACGTCCACCGGCTCTTCGCTAAGCCACTCCAAATATTATACAAGCTAAGAAGACGGTTTCTTCAAGGCATCTCCTGGTCAGAGCCATCCCATTCCAACCAGTGCTTCCCTGAAGCCCCTCCCCTGGACTGAAATTCTGGAACCATAAACTGTTTACCTCCCTCCGGCTTTGCTAAACTCTTCTGGGTTGGCTGTCTCTTTCTCTCAGCCAGGCTGTTTCTCTCCTGGTTTGCCAGCCCTCTTTTCTGTGACCCTACTCAGCCCCTCCCCTTCTTGGTGCTTCCCCAGCCCAGCCCTGTCTTCCTGAAACTCATTAGTTTTCTCACCTCCTGCACCTCAGTCTCAGTGAACCTGTCTTCTACCTCCCTGCACCTCCCCTGGCTGACTTTATCTCCCTGCACCCTTCCCATCTCTCTCTCTGCTGCTTCTCCCTTTCAGTAATGCCTACCCCCCCCCCAACCAACCCCGCCGCTCTACCCTCCCTCCCCGGTTGCTTCATCTTCAGTTCAATTTCTTTACTTTCCAAAGCCAACTTCAGAAGGACCAGGAAAAAGTAGTGTTTCCCTGGGAGGGGACAGAGAGCCTCCAAGATCTTTATATGTAATTAAATGTTTCAAAGAGCACTATCTGAGCCAGCTTTGCAGAAATTTCCACAGCTGTGAAAAGGGCCTGAATGGCAGAGCCCCAGGTAGGTCACCCAGCCTGCATCCACCTCCAGCTCTGACCCTCATCTGGTGCATACAGGACTACTGGACACACAATAAGAAGGTGTCCTCAAACCATAGCCTCATCTACTTGAATCCTGGAGTATGGTGGATGTGGAGTTCAAGCATGGACATGGACAGGCACAAATAATGTTCTAGGAGAAGTTCAGTGGAAAGATTGCTCCCAGCTAAGGAGACCAGGCAAGACTTCCTAGAGAGAGGGATCTGAAGTGGGCTGTCTCCCTTGTCTGCCTATCAGAGTGACCAACTGTCCCAGTTTCAGCACTAAAATCCCACATTCTGAGAAATCCCTCAGTCTTGAGCAAACTGGAATGGCTAGATATCCTACCTCCTGAAGACGAGGAGATGATCAGTTGACCTTTGTGCTCCAGTGATTCTAGGGTTTAGACACCCAGGGAGGAAGGAGGCAGTTGAGTGGGACTGGAGAAGGTGTCACTGGGCACGCTCGGTATGAACAAAGAGATGGGGGCACTCGAGTGTTGGGCAGGTACAAAAGCACAAGGTTCTAGTGAGGCCAGTGAGTGCATGGGATCTTTGGCATGATGGAGGCATTGATGGAGGAATCACTCCATCAGCCCCACAAACTCCCCTGTACATATCTGCCACTTGCTGATCAAGGTCAAGTGGTCAATGTCATGGAGCCTGATTATCATCCTTTAGTAGATGGAGCCAGCCTAGGCCCAAATCCCAATTACCCTATCTTGCTTTATTCCTTTTTCATCTGTGCCCCAAATATTCACATGTACAAACTGAGCTGCCAGATTATGAGTAAGTCTCACCCTGCATTTCCTACCTGGTACTATAGTGAGTGAGGCAAAATTAAGTCCAGCAACCAAAAGCAATCTTGAGAAATAAGAACGAGGCTGGAGGCATCACGATTCCTGATTTCAAACTGTAGTACGAAGCTACAGTAATCAAAACAGTATGGTATTGGCATAAAACAGGCACAGGATCAACAGAACAGAACAGAGAGCCTAGAAATAAACCCATGCATATACAGTCAATTAATTTATGACAAAGGAGTCAAGAATATACAGTGGGGAAAGGACACCATAAATGATGTCAGGAAAACTGGACAGCCACTTATAAAAGAATGAAACTTGACCACTATCTTATATCATATACAAACATTAACTCAAAATGGAGTCAAGACCGAAGTGCAAGACCCAAAACCATTAAACTCCTAGAAGAAAACAGGTGGTAAGCTCTTGACATAGGTCTTGTGCTGATTTTCTGGATTTGACACAAGCAAAGGCAACAACAGCAAAAATAAACAAAGGCAACAAAAGCAAAAATAAACTACATCAAACTAAAAAGCTTCTGCACAGCAAAGGAAACCACCAACAAAATGAAAAGGCAGCCTACTGAATGGGAGAAAGCATCTGCAATTCATGTAACTGACAAGAGGTTAATATTCAAAATATATAAAGAACTCAAGCTCAATAGCAAAAAAACGAACAATCCAATTAAAAAATGGGCAGAGGGTCTGAATAGACATTTTTACAAAGAAGACATACAAATGGCCAACAGGCACATGAAAACATGCTCAACATCACTAATCATCAGGGAAATGCAAATCAAAACCACAGTGAGGTATCACCTCACATCTGTTAGAATGGCTAGTACCAAAAGAAGAAATAACATATGTCGGCAAAGATGTGGAGGAAAGGGAACCCTCATTCATTGGCAATGGGAATGTAAATTAGTATAGCCACTATGGAAAACAGTACGGAGGCTCCTCAAAAAATTACAAATAGAACTATCATATGATCCAGTAATTCCACCTCTGAGTATTTATCCAAAGGAAATAAAAACACTAACTCGAAAAGCTATCTGCACCCCCATGGTCACTGCAGCATTGTTTACAATAGCCAAGACAGGGAAGCAACCTAAGTGTCCACTGATGGATGAATGGATAAAGAAGATGTGGTAGACAGACACACACACACACACACACACACACACACACACACACACTGGAATATTATTCAGCCACAAAAAGAAGGAAATCCTGTCATTTGTGACAACATGGATGGACCTTGAGGGCATCATGCTAAATGAACTAAGACAGAGAAAGACAAATACCATATGATTTCACTTATCTGGAATCTAAAAGACAAAGAACCAGACAAGAACCAGACTCATAAATGCAAAGAACAGATTGGTGGTTACCCAAGGTGGGGCATAGGAAGTGGGTGAAATGGTGAAGGTGGTCAGAAGGTACAAAGTTCTAGTTATAAAATAAAGAAGCCATGGGGACGTAATGTGCAGCATGGTGACTCTAGCTAATACTGCTGTATAATTAATAATACATGAAAGTTGCTAAGAGGAGATCTTAAAGTTTCTCATCACAAGAAAAAAATGTGTAATTATGTATGGTGATAGATATTAACTAGACTTCTGGTGATCATTTCACAATATATATAAATGTGGGATCAATATTTATATACCTGAAACTAATATATCAATTATATCTCAATTAAAAAAATCAAGTCCAGTTATAGTTACAACCTCCACCCACACTGGAAGAGGTTCATGGGACTGAGAGTGATGGAGCACCCAGCAGTCGGTGTCCCCCACCTCACCCACCCTCTGGGACATATATCAGCAAATGGAAAGACTAGCTGAATTACCTACTATACCATTTTCTATCTCTTTTTGTTGCCAAGCACACATAGTTGAATTCCCATAAATTTCATGTATATATGATGTGACTCCATTGTAATGATAATGACAACCCCATTTTAAATGTTCACTGTGACATTTAAAACCCTGTAAGTCAGGTTTTACTATTCTCCGTTTCACAGATGGGAAATAAAGGGTCAGAGAGGTTAAGTGATGGTCCAAGGTTATAGTCAAGGGCGGGCTCAGGTCTGGCTCCAGCAGTCTCCACTGCTGGTAAATGGGACACTTTCCAAATGATGATTCTGAGGACAGAAACTCTGAGGTGCCATTGGGCAGAAGTGGCAGTTGCAAAGGGCAAGTGCAGAGATACCATGGAGGCTAGCCACTTCCTCTCTGTTCATCACTGGGGACAACCCCAGGATCCAGAACAACGGATTCCCTTCATTGTTAGGGCCATAGTTACTGCCCTCAGACCTTGACTCTGAAGGAAACTGTTAGAGTCCAAAGCCAGTTTGTCCTTGGTGCATCCCAGGGCATACAGTTATACTTTGCTTATCAGAGGTGACCTCTGATTCTCTGTGGCACAACCAAACCCCCAAACTGTAGGGCGTGCAGTCTCGTGGGGACGGAGATGCTAAGGCAGCATTGAAAGTATACAGCAGACGTGCTATAGTCGGGGTTGTTCTGGACAGTATAGAAGGGCATGGGTGGGTCTGAGTCCAGACGGGGGGGTTAGGGAATATGTCCTCAAAGAAGAGACTGGAAGGAGAGGTGAGCATGGGGAATGATCTATTCTACATATATTTCTAAGCAAAGGAACTGATATGTGTGAAAGCCTGGAGCTGGGAAAAAGCAAGACACGGGAGAAAATTTAAAAAGGAATATTACTCGGCCATCAGAAGGGATGAATACCCACCATTTGGTTCCAACATAGATGGAACTGGAGGGGATTATGCTAAGTGAAATAAGTCAAGCAGAGAAAGACAATTATATGGTTTCACTTATATATGGAACATAAGGAATAGCATGGAAGACATTAGGAGAAGGAAGGGAAAAACGAAGGGGGGGAATCAGAGGGGGAGATGAACCACGAGAGACTATGGACTCCGGGAAACAAACCAAGGTTTTTAGAGGGGAGGGGGGTGGGGGGATGGGTTAACCCAGTGATGGGTATTAAGGAGGGCACGTACTGCAATGAGCACTAGGTGTTATATGCAGATAATGAATCATGGAACACTACCTCAAAAACTAATGAAGTACTGTATGGTGATTAACATAACATTAAAAAAAAAGGTGTGTGTCTGGAACATAGACTTTAAGGGAGAGCAAGGTATAAGTGGTACAGCTTCCTGGGCAGGGTCCAAGGTCTAGGGCTTTGTGAGCTGTGTTCAGGGGTGCTGACTTCCCCCAAGAGCAGCCGGGAAGCTCTGGATGTACTCCAAGCAGGGGACAGACATGATGAGGTGTGGCCCTAGAAAGACTGCGCT